CTTTTTGGTTTTCCCTTCACACACTGGGTTGCTCTGCATGCCAAGCATGTGTGTTCTAACACTGAGTGCACACGCCCAGCTGGGGACCTGCTGCTAATTGGCTCTTCTCCTCCTTCCAGATCATGTTTGAGACCTTCAACACCCCGGCCATGTATGTGGCCATCCAGGCCGTGCTGTCCCTCTACGCCTCCGGCCGCACCACGGGCATTGTAATGGACTCTGGGGACGGTGTGACCCACACCGTGCCCATCTACGAGGGCTACGCTCTGCCCCACGCCATCCTGCGCCTGGACCTGGCCGGCCGCGACCTCACCGACTACCTCATGAAGATCCTGACAGAGAGGGGCTACAGCTTCACCACCACGGCCGAGCGGGAGATCGTGCGGGACATCAAGGAGAAGCTCTGCTACGTGGCCCTGGACTTCGAGCAGGAGATGGCCACGGCCGCCTCCTCCTCCTCGCTGGAGAAGAGCTACGAGCTGCCCGACGGGCAGGTCATCACCATCGGCAACGAGAGGTTCCGGTGTCCTGAGGCCCTTTTCCAGCCTTCTTTCCTGGGTATGTGTGGGGCAGGGTCAGCTCCGGGTGGGGTGGGGCTGAGGGGAGGGGTCCAGGGTGCGTCACCGGGAGGTCCTGAGTGGTACAAACAAGGCCCCGTGTGACACTGTCAAGGTGGTGGGTGGGCACTGAGGGGTCCTGGGTTAGAACGAACAAGCTTCTTTGTGGCAGTAAAGGGGGCTGGGTGGCACTGACAAGGTGGTGGGTGGGCACTTGGGGGTGCTGGGGGGAACTAACAAGATCCTGGGTGGCACTAACAAACCTGCCCCTTCCTCCTCCCCACCCAGGCATGGAATCCAGTGGCATCCACGAGACCACTTTCAACTCCATCATGAAGTGTGACGTGGACATCAGGAAGGACCTGTACGCCAACACGGTGCTGTCCGGAGGCACCACCATGTACCCCGGCATCGCCGACAGGATGCAGAAGGAGATCACGGCGCTGGCCCCCAGCACCATGAAGATCAAGGTGGGACAGGCTCCGGGGCGGTGAGGGGTGAGGGGAAGGCTCTGGCTGTGCCCTGACCGCTCACTGTTCTCTCCCCTCCGCAGATCATCGCCCCTCCGGAGCGCAAATACTCCGTGTGGATCGGCGGCTCCATCCTGGCGTCCCTCTCCACCTTCCAGCAGATGTGGATCAGCAAGCAGGAGTACGACGAGTCCGGCCCCTCCATCGTGCACCGTAAATGCTTCTAAACGGACTGCGGGCCCCGCTGCCACGCCCGGGAGCTGTGCCCGGGCATCCATACACCTCATGCCAGCCTCCTGCAACTGGAATAAGCCTTCTTCCAAAAGAAATCCTGCCCTTGGGAAGTCTGTACCTGATGTTAGACACGTGGATGGGCGCGCTGTCGCTTGATTTGACCTTGTTGTAGCCGAGTTAGCCGCTCCCCGAGCCCATACCCTGTACGGATCGGCTCCCTGGGGCTCCCCGATCCCGGGATCTCCCCCTCCCAGGGCCCCCACACTGACAGCGGCCCCGGGCCCGCTCTGTACAGGGTATTTGGAGCCAGACTTTGCCGTACATCCCGTGTGGAATATTCCAGGTTTCCTGTAGAGGCTGGTAGGAGTCCATCGAGAAATTTTTTTTTTTTTTTTTCACCGTTTCTAGCAAGGTTGGGAAAAAAAAAAAACATATCACATCCGAGCCTTACACCCTCCTCATCCTCCTCTTCCTTCCCCTCCTCCCCCTGGTCCCACCGCAGGGCTCGAGTCCTCAGCTCCAAGTTGCTGAAGCTCTACATTTACACCTGTAAATTTCTGCATTTTAATTTATGTCAGATTTTTTTCTTTTTTCTTCTGTTTTTTTTCTTTTTTTTTTTTTTGTACGTTGCCTTAATGTTCTCACGTGACGGTAGAAAAAAAAACCAAATCAAAATTTGTTTAAGAATCATCCGAAAAGTTGAGAAATTGTAATGCCCAACAAACACTTCATTGTGTAAGGAAAATAAAATGGAAAAAAAGCTGCAGTAACTCCAGCTGAGATTGTGTGTGGTGAGGTGGGGGGGAGTGGGTGGGAGCTTCCCCAGGAAACTGGGGTGGGATTTTGGGGCTAAAAATAGGTGTTTAGGGGCCAAGAAGCTGGATTTTTTTGCACAGGCTCTTGGCTACTCTTGCCTGTCTATGGAATTGCTGGGGTGCTGAGGGTCCCTGCCTGGGGTGGGTCTTCAGCCCTTCCTCCCCACCTTTATCCATCACTTCAGGACTGAGGTGCCCCATGTCCAGGGGTTGGGGTGTGGGTGGGTGGGATTCACTCCAGAGATCCCCCCAACCCTCGGGGTTGGTGTCCCCAGGACTGGACACACTGGGTGGCTGAGGGGGACGTGACACAGCACCAGGTCTGGGGGTCCCTGTGCTGTGAAGACCCTGCAGTTGCTGTTCCCATTGATTTAGGGGTGCAGGTCCCTCTGGATGCCCTGGATGGGTGGGGGATGTCCTGTCCCCACCATTGGCCCCCCCAACCCACAGCACCTGCAGCTGCCCACCTGTCCTTCTGTCCATCCTGTTCTGCACCTGTCTCTCTGTCTGTCCATCCCTGTCTGTTCACCCTGCCAGCTCTGCTCTCACCCTTCAGCCCTCTGCATCCATCTGTCCAGCCCTCCAGCCTCCTTGAGTCCATCTGTCCGTCCAGCTGTCCATTCCTCCCTATGTCAATCTGTCCATCCACCCGTATCCATCTGTCTGTCCTCCCTGCCAGCTCCTCACCCGCCGCCCATCCCTCCCTGCCCCTTCTGTCCGTCCAGCTGTCCATCCCTTCCTGTCTCCCCGTGCCCGTCTGCCTGTCCATCTGTCCCTCCCCGTGTCCGTCCGTCTGTCGGACCACTCTCCCGTCCCTGCACCAATCTGTCCGGCCTCCTCCCACCACCTGTCTGTCCGCCTGTCTGTCCGTCTGCCTGTCCCTCCCTCCCAGCACCCGGCTGTCTGTCCCACTGCTTGCCCACCTGCCTATCCGTCCGGCCGTCTGTCCTGCCGGCCTCGTGTCCGTCTGTCCATCCCCACCCCTTCCCTGCCTCAAATACCCACCCTGTCCCCCCCCATGTCCCCTCTGTCCCCCCGTCCCCCATCGGTCGCTGTGTCCCGTCCCGTCCGCCAGGGGGCAGCACGTCCCCACGCGCGCGCCCGGCCCTGCGCTCAGCGCCCCCTGGCGGCCCGGCCGGGCACCGGCGGCGCGCGGGCCCGGAGAACAAAAGGGCGTCCCCACAGCCAATGGGAGCCCGGCTCGGCGGCTCCGCTCCCGCTGATTGGCGGAACAGCGGCCAATGGCGAGGCAGCACTGCCTGTCCGTCTGTTCCCACGTGGGGGTGGAACAAGCGGTGGGGGGGAACGAGAGCCCTTCCTGATCCCACCCTGCATCCCTGATCCATCCCCTGCATCCCTGATCCATTCCCTGCATCCCTGATCCATCCCCTGCATCCCTGATCCATCCCCTGCATCCCTGATCCCACCCACTGCATCCCTGATCCCATCCCTGCATCCCTGATTCCATCCCCTGCATCCCTGATTCATCCCCTGCATCCCTGATCCATCCCCTGCATCCCTGATTCCATCCCCTGCATCCCTGATTCCATCCCCTGCATCCCTGATCCCATCCACTGCATCCCTGATCCCATCCCTGATCCATCCCCTGCATCGCTGATTCCATGCCCTGCATCCCTGATTCCATGCCCTGCATCCCTGATTCCATGCCCTGCATCCCTGATTCCATGCCCTGCATCCCTGATCCATGCCCTGCATCCCTGATCCCATGCCCTGCATCCCTGATCCCATCCCCTGCATCCCTGATCCATCCCCTGCATCGCTGATCCCACCCTGCATCCCTGATCCCATCCCTGCATCCCTAATCATGCTGCAGGAGTATCCCCCATCCTGCTGCCTGCATCCTGCATCCCACTGACCCTGCCTGCATCATCCTGCAACCCCAACCTGCATCCTGCCTGCATTCCCCCCATTCCTCCCTGCATCCCTGCCTGCATTCCCTGGCAGCAGGACCGGGTGCCACCAGGACAGGGTGCCCTGGGGGTCTCTAACCCTACCCCCCCTGCCCATCTCCTGCCAACACCAAGCTGGGGAGGCCTCTGGGGGTGCTGGGGGGTGGTGGTGCCCATAACTGGGGGTGCCCAGAGCCAGGGGTGCCCACAGTGGGGGTGCATAGGGTGGTCGCAGCAGAAGGGAAACTGAGGCAGAGCCGAGAGCGGAGCCGGCGCCAGCAACGGTTCATATATTTATTCATAAGCCAAGTTATCCATAAAAAAGTTCCATAGTAAAAGGCCTTTACAGGAGTGGCGGCTCATAAAACCTTTGTTTAACCCTTTGCTCCTTTTTTTTTTTTTTTTTTTTTGTCCTTTTGGATTTTATTTTTTTTTATCCTGTTTTGTGGGATTTTTTTTCTGGTTTAGTGTTTACACTGGAAAAGCCCCTGTACAGTATTTTCCAGGCAGCGGCGGCGGGACGGGCCAGCATCCGCCGGCCCCAGGGGGTGCCCGTGGACCCCCCACGGCCCCCTGGGTCCCCTCGCGGTCACCCCCTATTGCACTGGGGACGGCGGCTGGGCCCCTGCCCGGGCCGAGCCCCCCACCCTGGCCCCCTCTGTACAGCGCTCCCCGCTGTCCCCGTCCCCCCCGGCTGGGGGACACAGTGCACTGAAACGACCCCCCCCTTTCCCACCCGCCCCCTCCCCAAGGATTATTATTAATTTTTTTTTATTGTGGAGTGGTGTTTTTTTTTTTGACCATTTTTTTTTTTTTTTTTTTTTTTTTCTGTCCTTTCTTGGTTTTCCATAAAACTTCCCGGAAGAAATACAATATTTACAGGCAAAATAAATAGAACAACACACCTGATTTCTGCTTCACCTGCTGGCAAACAGTCAGAGGTACTAGGGAAAGTTATGGCTTGTAGGGGAGCCCCGTCCCCCCGTCCCCCTCGGGCCCCCACAACGCGCCCCCCAATGTCACCACGGGCTTTGCATAAGAGCCGGGCAGGACCCGCAGAGGGGGGTCCCCGTCCCCGTCCCCGGGGGGTCAGCAGAGGGTGGGCACCCCCGGGGGGTCGGCAGAGGACGGGCACCCCCAGGGGGGTCAGCAGAGGATGGGCACCCCGTCGGCGGTCACCAGGCGGCCCGTGGTGGGGTCGTAGGTGCCCGCCAGGTAATAGAGGTCCTGGCGGTCCTGGTACCTCCGGCCCCGCGTGAGCTGCTCGTAGTGCTCCCGCCCCACCACCTGGCACTTGTGCGAGATGGTCTGCACGTCGTTCTCGTCCTCGTGGCACGACTGGTACAGCGCGTTCTGTGGGGACAAGGCACCGTCACGGCCGCCTGGCACGGCACGCGTGGCCGCCTGGTGTGGCTACCTGGCACAGTGTGGGGCTGCCCGGCACGGCTCATGGCTACCTCGCACAGTGTGTGGCTGTGCCACATGGCACAGGACCCCTTGGGCCACCTGACACCACAGAGGGCCGCCTGGCAGAGCTGCCCCCGCCCCACCCTCACCTTGCCGTCGCTCTGGCGCTTGCCCAGCTTGGTCTCCTCGGGGTGGTAGAACCACTTGACCTTGACCACCATGTTGCTGGCCCAGGACTCCCACATGCTCTCGATGCGGCCGATGTAGGGCAGGTTGGGCCTCCCGGCCGACAGGAACACGGCGCAGTCGCCCACGCGCAGCGTCTCCTTGCCCCGCACGATGGCCTTGTAGAACAACTTCCGCGCCTTGCCCTTCATGCCGCGCCGCTGGGGGGAACAGGGGCTCAGGGGGGGCACGGGGACCCCCAAACCCGCCACCACGGGGAGAGGGGAGAGCAGCACACAGGGCGGGAGTGCCCACGGCACCCGGGCAGTGCCCTGTGCCTGAGGGACACAGCGGGTGTCACCAGTGCCCAGGGGACACAGACAGTGTCACCAGCACCCCTGCATCTGTGTGACACAGCTGGTGTCACCAGCACCGGGTGCTGGGCAAGCACGTGTTGCAACTGCTGTCCCCAAACGCCACGAGCACCTTTTTCTGGGCACCTGAGTGCCAGCTTGGGCACCCACACGTCACAGCTGGTGTCCCCAGCACCTCGAGCACCCCACACCCCACCAGGCACCCCTTTGCCCCCCGCACCCACGTCCCCACACCCCAGGCACCTCGCTCTGCGCACGCCCTGCCAGGCACCCCCACACGTCCGCCTGTGCCCCCCGCCCTGAGCCCCTGGGAGCTGTGCCCGCTCCTCCCCTCCCAAACTGTGCCCAGCAGCGAGTGTCCAGCTGAGCTCACGGTGCCTGCGGAGGGTGGCGGGGTGGGTGCCCACCTTACCTGCGTGGGGTTCCCCGACCACCTCCAGAGCTGGCGCGGGCAGGAAGGCGGAGATCTTTGGCCGGTTTTCCACCGAGGGCAGGCGCTGCCGCCGGGAGAACTCTTTGGCTTTGGCGAAGCTGAGGGCCTCCTTGCGCTTGAGCTTGGCCTTGGGGCCGGCGGCGGCCGCCTTGGACAGGAAGCAGCGCTGTGGGGCGGTGCCCTTGGGCCGCAGCGCGTCCGGCTGCGCCAGCAGCGCCGGCACCGGGTGCGACAGGCAGGTCTGGAGCAGCAGCGCCGAGTCCTCGTCCTCCGAGCTGTAGGAGGAATCCTCATTGTCCGAGGAGCAGAGGCTGGACGTGGAGATGGAGCCGGAGCTGGAGGAGGTGGAGGAGCCCGAGGAAGAGGAGGACACCGAGAGGCGCGTCATGAAGCGCGAGGGGACGTCGGCGCCCAGCCCCGCCGCGTCCTCGTCCTCGTCCATGTCCGAGTAGGAGCTGTGGCAGTCGCTGTCGCAGTTCAGGGTGAAGTCCCCGTGCCCCGAGTACTTGCGCAGCGCCAGCCCCACGGGCAGCGGGTGAGTGGCCGCGCGGCCCCTCCGCTCCCGGCCGCCCAGCCCGGCGTGTCCGTAGCCGTGGCTGCCCAGCGGCCGCTCCAGCCGGGCCCCGAAGTCCTTCTCGGCCAAGAGCAGCGCCTTGCACGTCTTGTTCTTGGGGGACGTCACCCCTTCGTGGTCCAGCTTGACCAGGAACTCGCTGCCCGCCGCCTTCCTGCGCCCGCTCCTGCCCACCTCCGCCTCCAGCCGCTCGGCCTTCTTGGAGCGCAGGAGCTTCTGTGCCGCGGGCAGCACCAGCCCGGCACTGGCGCCGAAGGAGCTGTAGGAGCTGGCGATGCGGCCAAAGGAGTCGGCACCGAAGGCGTTGCCGAAGACGGGGGCGGCGAGGTGGTGGTGGTGGTGGTGCAGCGGGAACAGGGTCTCCTTGGCCCGCAGCTTCTTGGCGCTGCCGTTGACCTGGAAGAGGTTCTGGAGCACGGACGAGCCCTTGTTCGCCGCCTTCCGCTTGGTCTGTGCCATGGCTGCCCAGCTGAGCAGGGACCCCCCGCGCCGCCCGGCCGTGGCATCGCTCAGTGCTGGCCCCCGGCCCCCCAACAGCCCCTCCATGGCTTTGCCTGCAGGAGAAAGGGGTCAGGGGGGTCAGAGGATGGATGGACGGAGGGAGCATCCCAACAACCTTCTCCCCATCCCAGCACCCTTCCCTGCATCCCAGCACCTTTTCCCCAACCCAAAACTCTTCCCCACATCCCCGCATCCTTTCCTGTATCCCAGCACCTTTCCCTGTACCCCAGCCCTCTTTTCCCTATTCCAATGCCACTCCTTGCATCCCATCCAGGCAGGTGGTCCATGGGTGCTCCTTGCCCCCCCATACCGCTTTTCTCCTTGCCAGATGCCTTCCTGCTGGAATTCCGGGAGGCCTGGGGGCCGTGATCCGGGCACAGCGTGGGGGGCAGCGCTCCAGGGGTGCCCACGTCGCCGCACGCCCGCTTTGCCCGCCGGCAGGAGCTGGACACCAGCAGTGCTGGGGAGGGCTCGGTGCCTGTGGGGAGCAGGGGGGTCAGGGCAGCCCCACACCCCACACCTGCTCCCCCTAATCCCGTGATCCCACCCCGGCCCCTCACACTGGATCTTGAAGTCGGGGGGCAGCAGGCGGATGTTGGACACGGCGATGTGCCCGGTGTCGCCATCGTCGAACTCCACCAGCACGGCCTCGGCGTCCTCCTCCTCCTCGTCACTGGAGGAGCCTGCGGCACGGGAGGGCTGTCGGGATGGGCAGGGACCCCCTGACACCCCCCGCCCCACAGCCTGCTCCCTGCCCAGCCTCACCTCGCACCACGTTCCCTGGGTACAGGCACCGGGATTTCTGGCTCCAGTAGGCGCAGACGCGGGTGCCGGGCGGGAGGCTGCGGCGTGACTGCGGCCGCACGTCCAGGACCTGCAGGGAGCACCGTGCTGGGCTCTCCCCAGGGTGGGGACCCCCACCTTGACACCTCACCATGACCCCCCACAAGCCCCCCCCCACTCACCGCCTCCTGCAGCAGCTGCTCCTGTGAGTAGATGCGCTGCCGGTTCCCCCTCTCGCCCTCGATGATGATGCTGTAGCTGGGGAGGGGGCACAGAGGGGGCTCAGCACCCACCTTGCCACCCCCTGCAAGGCTGGGACACCCCCCAGGGCTGGGACCCCCCGGAGCCCACGCTCACATGTCCGGGGGCTGGATGGTGCGGACGCTGCCGGCGTAGAGCAGACTGTCCTCCTTGGGAATCAGGATGTGCAGCCCATCCCGCAGGTCCTCCTTCTGGATGGCGCAGGCGTGGGGGACCTCCCCACGTGTCCCCCCCGCCAGGCAGCCCCCCAGCTCCTCCTCCTCCTCCGAGAAGCTGCTGTTGTCATCGAAGTCGAAGTCGTCCTCCACGGTGAAGCTCTCCAGCAGTTTGCTGACTGCCCGGCCCTTGCACTGCAGGAGGGGGCAGGGGTGAGTAGGGGGCCTAAGGGGGCTGTGTCAGGGTTGGGGGAGGCCACCCCGGTTCTCACCTGCTTGGTGGCCACTTTGCTCTTGACCTTGGCCAGCTTCTTGCCCTTGCTCAGGATGGTCTTGGCGCTCCGGGGGGAGAGGGCCAACGAGAGGGCCCCGTTCTTGCGCTGCAGGAGGAGGGTCAAGACTGGCTGATGGCCTCCCCATGTGACCCCAGCCTGCCCGGGGTGCCTCCCACCACCCCAGTCCCTCTCAGCTCTACCAGCACACACAGCCTGTGCAAAACCTGCACCCACCCCTTGGCACTCCATGGCACACCCTCATGGTGCCAAGGGTCCCACCAGTGCTCCCAGCACCCCCAAAACATCACAGAACCCCCAGCCCCTGCATCCCATGGTCCCAGTGGTGCCCACCCAACCTCCCCAGCCTATCCAAACCCCATATCTCCCCCTGTACCCCGTGGGCCCATCAGCACCCTACAACTACCCCAGTACCCCAAGCACCTGCACCATCTCATTGGAAACCCCAATGACAGCAGTACCCTCAACCCCTGCACGCCCCGGTCCCATTGGTGCCCCCCAGCCCATCCATCCAAACCCCACACCCAGCCCCTGCTCACCCTGAGGGCTGCCTGCAGCCCCTTGCTCTTGCGGGTGCCCTTCTTGCCCCTCTCTCCCAGCCGAGCCCCCTCGTCCCGCGGCCCCAGGAGCCGGGGGTCGGTGCCCCCGAAGAGGCTGCCGGGGGGTCCCGTGGGGCTGGGGCCACCGGGAGCTGGGGGCCGCAGGCTCTCCTTGTTCTTGACCTTCAGCTTCTTCTTGCTGCCCTCGGGGCAGCCCCCGGCCTTCCGCCGCCCCGGCACCTTCTCCAGCTTCCCGGCACCCCCCGGCTTCACCGGCCGCCGCTTGATCTTCACCTCCCCCTCGGGGCTGCCCAGGCGGCAGGGACCTGGGGGGACAGGGGTCAGGGCACCCCACAGGGACCAGGGCATCCCATGGGGGCCTGGGGACCAGGCACCATACAGAGGGGACAGGGCTCAGGGCACCCCACAGAAGTGATGGGGTTTGAGATACCCCACAGTTGCCCACCCAACCCTGGCACATGGTCCTCGGCCCTGTGCCCCACGGCATTCCCAGGGTGATCCCATTACCTAGCAGCCCCTGCCTTTCCTTTTTCTTCTTGGCCTTCTCATTGGCCTCCATCTTCACCACAGAGGATGGGGAGGGCCCCAGCACGGCCACCGGCCCCGTGGGCAGGGACAGCCCCGGCTCCTCATCCTCGCTGTCCGTGTCCCCTTCGGGCTCATCTGCAAGGGCAGGGGACAGCAGTGAGGGACCCCTATGCACCCAGGGGTGGCCCCTGCACCCCCAGTACAGGATGGGGTGAGCTGGAGTCAGGTGTGACTCCTACTCTTGCCCTAAACCTTCTGCAGCCCCGTGCTGGACACTGAACACCCATCCCATGCTGAATCCTGCACCCCCAGCCCCGTGGTTGGACCATGCATCCCCATGCTCGTGCTGCACCCAGCACCCCCAGCCCAGCCTCTGAACCCCCATTCCCATGCCAGACCCCAACCCCAACCTCACACCCCCATCCCAACCAGATCCTTATCCTGACCATGCACCCCATCCTAACCTTGCCCTGCTGTTCCCATCCCAGACCCCACACCCTCATCCCACACCCCCACCCCCGTGCCCCCCTTGCCTCTGAAGTGGGGGGGCTGCCGGGGGCCGGGGTCCTGCCCCTGGTACTTGGAGCCCTTGGAGCCCTTGGGTCGGTTCAGCTTCTTCTGGATGCGGGCGCCGGGGTTGGGATCCCTCCGGCGGAAGGGGCTGAGGCCGGGGGGCAGCCCCTTGCCCTTCACCTTCTGCTTCAGCTGCAACACCCCATCAGCCACCACACAGAGCAGGGGACCCCGCTCTGGGGGGGCTCGGGGGGCGTTGGGGGGTGAACAGGACTCCCCAGATCCCATGGGACTCACCGGGGAGCCCTGGAGGCTGCTGAAGGTCCCCCCTGACAGTTTGCTCCTCTTCTTCTGGGGCTCAGGGTCCCCCCTCAGCTCGGCACACAGCAGGGACAGGCTGGTCTTCACTGCCCTGGGGAGGGCACAGCGTGGGCACGGTGTCTGCAGACCCCCAGAGGGGTCCTGCACCCCGTCCCAAATGGATCCTGTACCTCACCCTGGCTGGCTCCTGCACCCCCACAACTGCCACCTCCCTGCTCTGCTCCCCACCCCTAACAACAATTTGTGACACAAAACCTGGAGATTATTTCTTTCCCCTTTTCCATCTAAACTGTGGCCCCATTTAGCAACAATTTAACAAGGGAGGGGGCTGGGACCCCCCAACATTCCCACACACCTTCCCAGTGCTTGGCTGAGCGCACAGCATTTACAGAGGACAGCTATGAGAATGGGGAATGGGATGCACCAGGCAGGAAAAGGGGGTGGGAAGAGGGGGTCACCCCATGCCATGGGGCTCCATGGAATGCTGCTCCCACCCAGACCCTCCCATCTTCCATGGGAATGAGTGGATGAACGCTCCCAAACACGGCACGGGACTGGTGTGCCATGGAAGTGGCATGAGGGGGGTGCAATAGGGATGTAATTGGAGTGGGGGGCCCCAAGCACACCGGGAGGGTCAGACCCCTGGACCGAGGGGGTCCATGCCACCGGTCACTCACTTGACCTTGCGGCTCTCGGCCCTGCCCAGAGCACTGGAGTGTTTCCTCTTCCGGCCGCCCCGGCCCGCGCCGCGCCGGGCTCCGGGAGCTCTCGTCGCGCCTGGAAAACCGGGGGCACCGTGAGCAGAGCCCCCTCCCCTCCAGGCTGAGGACAGGCCCAAACTCATCACACGGATTAACTGCCAAGGCTGCCCCTGCCCCGCCCCAGCCTCAGGAAGGGGACGGAACAGGACGTACTCGTGGTCGTGGCGCCGCTGGAGCCTCACCAGCTCCCGCTGCTTCTCCTTGTAGCGGCGCTGGAGCTCGGCCAGGCGCATCCGCACCTCCACCTCCTGCGTGTTCAGCTGCTCCATGGCCGCCTTCAGCGGGCACACCTGGGGGGTCAGGGAGGGTCTGGAGGCCGCTGGCACCGCTGGCAGTGCCAACAGCCTCTGCCACAGGGCTGAGGCCGAGCACAGCTCATCTCACCTCCCACCCCCCCCCGGCAGACACTCACGGCCTTGGTTTTGGGGGTCCAGGTGTACTTGCGGCGGGGGACACGGGTGCGGGGTGGGGGCGAGGCGGGCAGGGGGCTGAGCGCGGGGGGGCTGCCCTCCCGCCCCGCCGCCTCCACCAGCGACCAGGCGGCCGCCACCGTGGCCAGGTTCTGCAGGTTGAAGGCCAGCAGCTCCTCATCCTCACCTGCAGGGACGGGATGGGGTCAGCGGGGACAGCCCAGGCTGCACGCTGGCAGCAGACCCTCGGCTGTAGCCGGGACGGACATGATGTGCCCCACCGGGTCACCCCATCCACGGGGAGTGGGATTCCACGGCCACATCCCATCCGTGGGGAGTGGGATTCCATGGCCACACCCCATCCGTGGGGAGTGGGATTCCACAGCCACAGCCCCACCCCATCCTACCAACCCCTCTGTGTGGGGAGTGGGACGCCACAGCCAACCCCTCACCCCACGGTGTTCCCATTCCACACCCAGCACGGGATCCCCCGCCACACTCCCACACAGCCGCAGGAACGAGGACACGCCAGGACAGTGCTGGCCATCCCTGCTGGGGCCCCTGGGATTCCCTGGGGAAGCCGAGCCGGGAGGGAATCCCGGCGCCTGCCTGGAGCCAGCGCTGGAGCAGAGCCTCGGCTTCGAGTGGGGCATGGCATGGCAGCATGGCACGGAACACAGCCTGCACACCCATGGAACAGGGTGCACTGGGGGAATTGGGGTGTACTGGGGACTGCTGGGGGTACTGGGGAGCACTGGGGGCACTCAGAGGCATTGGGCAACACAGTGGGATACTGGGGGTACAAAGGGTGACTGGGGTCACCAGAGAGTACCAGGGGTCACCAGGGATGTCAGTTCCAGCAGGCACCAGGGTCACAGAGAGGTGATGGGGGCACCAGGGGTCACCCACCTTCCCTGGCCAGGTCGCAGCGGCGCCGGCGCAGCTCCAGGTCGGCGAGTTCACTGAGCAGGGCAATGCCGGGGATCCCTGAGGGGTGGGGGGCGGGCGAAGGGGGTGCAGGAGGAGGCTCCTCAGGCTCGTCCAGTGCTGGCAGCTCCCCCAGGTCGATGCCGGCAGCGATCAGAGCCTCCAGCCCACCCAGGCAGCCCTGGTGCCCAACAGGGACATCACCATCCTCCTCCTCATCGCAGTTGCCCTCCGGTTCCAAGCCATCGCTGTCGCCTTCCTCCTCCTCCTCCTCCTCCTCCTCCTCTTCTTCCTCCTCCTCCACCTCCTCCTCCTCCGCAGTGGGGGGCAGCTGAGAGTCCCCTACCCCGGGCACGGGGTGCTGCTGCTCCGGCTGCTCCGGTGCTCCCTGAGCCACCTCCCGGTGCCCCCCGAAGGGCTCCTCCTGTCCCCCGTGGCCGGCGCTGCCCCTCGCTCCCCGCAGAGGGGCCCCGGGGGGAGCAGCAGGTGGTGGCGGTGCAGCAGCACCCCGGGACCCTCGGCCGGGGGGTCCCGTGGGGGGCCCGGCTCCCGCAGCGCCTCGGCAGTGGGGCTGAAGGTCCGGGACTGCTCGGGCTCTGCGGGGGGTGACCCGGCGTGCACGGGGTCGGGGTCCGCCGGCTCGGCTGAGTGCGCCGCGGGGTAGCCCATGGCGGCGGCGGGGTAGCCATACCCGGGGGGCAGGTCTGCAGGAGGGGGGCCATGGTCAGCAGGGACCCCCCGGTATCCTCCAACCTCCCTTCTCTTCCTCGGTGCCACGGACTCACCTGGCTCCAGGGGTTTGGGGTAGCGGTGCGGGGGCTGCCCCTCGCCCCGCGCGTCCTCGCCCTCGCTGCCCTTGCTGGGGGCGGGCAGGGGGCTGTCGGCCGGCGAGCGCGGGGCCACGGCCGGGCTGGCGGCGGGGCAGGCGGGTAAAGTGCAGGGGGCCGTGGGCAGGGTCACTGGGCACTTGGCCGGGTGCCGCAGGGCTGGCGAGTGGCAGCAGGGGGACAGCTTGGGGGGCGCGGGGGCCGCCGAGGTCAGGCCCTTGGTCGGGGGGTTTAAGGCAACTGCTTTGTGGGAGGGTTTGAGGGGCTTCTCAGGACCCCCCTCCTCCAGCTCCAGGGGCTGCTCCTCTGTCTTCCGCTGTGGGAGGCAATGAGGGGACACATGTTAACCCCTGCCCCACAGCCTGGTCCCTGCCCCACAGCCTGGCATCCCACAGCCCAGCTCTGCATCCCACAGCCCAGCCCTGCACCCCACAGCTCAACCCTGCACCCCACAGCCTCGTCCAGCCCCACAGTACAGATCAATGCCCCAGACTCCTGCCTAACCACCCAGCCCAGCACCCTACAACCCCATCCCACATCCCAGTCCCATATCCCTGCCCAGCCCCTGCTTCTCTGCCTGTCCCCAGCCCTGCCCCACATCTCCTCCACAAATCCCACATCCAGCCCCACATCCCCACCCTCCGCCCCAACCTTCATCCCGCCCTGCATCCTCCAGCCAGCCCCACATCCCATTCCACCCCCAGCCCCCACCATCCCCCATCCCTGGCACCTGGCCGTGTGCCTGGCGCTGGATCTCGAGGGCCTGGGCTGCCCGTTGCTGCTGCTGCTGCTGCTGCTGCTGCTGGAGGGCGTAGAGTTCCTGCTGCCGCAGGAACTGCGACCGTGGGTACACGGGCAGCTGCCCCGTGTGCTGCAGGTGGGCACTGGGACCCCGGCCCGGGTACATGGGGGGCCACAGCGATGCCTGGTCCATCACGTCGGCTGCAGAGGGCAGGGGGTCAACTGAGAACCCACTTTGGGGTCACCCCACAGATCCCACTGGTGTCCAGCCCCAGCCCTGCAACCCTGGTAGCACACAAAGGGACCTGCATCTCCCACCCCTAGACCCCCAAAAGTACCTAAAAGGACCCCAATCTCCCACCCCTGTACCCCAAGAAGCACCTGCAGCCTCCCTCCACCCACAACTGTACCCATAGAAAACCCACTACCAACCCCCAAACCCCCAAAAGTGACTCCAGTGACCCCCATCTCCCACCCTACACCCTCAAGGACCCCTTTCTCCTCTCCCCAGCCTCACCCAGCCCCCAGGACCCCCTTCCCAGCACAAGGTGGGGGTCCCAGCCTCACCCAGCGTGTGGGGGGTGCTGTGGGCGGGGGGCTCTGTGGGGAGGATGACGAGCTGGGCAGGGGGGTCCTGGGCGAGGGGGAACACGGGCTGCATGGCACTGGGCATGGAGGTGGGGAAGGCGGGGGGCAGGTTCTGGTGCAGCGCCGGGTGCCCGATGCCTGCAGGGATGGAGGGGGGGTGGTCCGTCAGCACCCCACTGTGGGGGATCAGCACCCACCCAGCCCCCCAGAGCCCCCCACTGACCGTAGGAGTGCCCCCCCATCCAGATGGAGGGGCTGCGGGTGCGGGGCAGCCAGTGCGTGTGCGCAGGGTGGGCGTGGGCGGCGGGGTCCCCGCCCAGCTGCCCTGCTGGCAGCGAGGAGCCCCCTGCCATCATCAGGTGGGGGGCCAGCTCCCCGGGACACCCCCCTGATGGGTGCATCCGGGCAAACTCCACCAGGTCCTTGTTGTCCCTGCGGGAAGAGGGGGATACACAGGTGTGGGCAGAGCACTGGCATCACCGTCCCCTGCATCCCCAAAAGGGACCCATCTCCCACACCTGCATGACCACCAACACCCACATGGACCATCAGATCCCACTACGCACCCCCAAAAGCACAGGAACCCATTACCCTTCCCCACACCCCCAAAACCACCCAAAGGGACCCCCCTCCCAACCCCACATTCCCAAGAGGATATCCAGGGTCCCTCATGTCCCTCCCTGCACCCCAGGGACCCCCACCATCCATCCCCATCTGCACCCCAGGGACCCCCATCTGCCCCCTGCCCCCAGCAGCCTCCCTGATTCCCCCTCACTCACTGGAGCAGGATGTCCCTCCCGGGCAGCCCCAGGCGCTCCTCACACAGCCGGCCCCGCTCCTCCTCGGCCTCCAGCTCCATCAGGTGCACGGGGCGCGCGGTGCCCGCTGCACGGGGACACCACGGTGGCATCAGCGTGGCACCACCAGCCCCTGCCGCCCCCAGCCCCCTCCCCAGCCCTTACCTTTGACTCCGGCTGCCGCCCGCTGCCGTCCCGCGCCCCCGGTGCCGCCGTTGCCGTAGGGCTCGTGGCGGCCCAGCGTGTCCTTCTGCCGCGCCACGGCCACGGCGATGCCCACGGGCGGCTGCCGCACCTCGCCCTCGGTGCCGCCGGGGCCCAGCGCCTCGTGCTCCCGGCCGCGGGCGCAGTCCGGCCGCTCCAGCTCCAGCTGCCCTTTTCCCGACGGGAATTTGGCGTCCTGGTGGGCGCAGCTGCCCTTGGAGCCTGCCAGCCCCACGAAGGGGGGGCCCTTCTGCCCCCCCAGCAGGGCCCCGTTGCTGTACTTGAGCAGGTTCTTCATGGCCGAGACCTCGTCGGGGGCGTTGGGCACCTCCTGCGCCCGCACCAGCCCCGCGCCGAAGGGGTCCAGGTAGGGGCCCCCCTTCCTCTCCTCTGCCACAGCCAGGGGGGGCCCCTGGCCCTGCACCCCCCAGGGGGGCAGGGGGTGCCCGCTGTAGCCCAGGGTACCCAGCTCCAGGGGCTTGCGCTTGCCCTCGGCCACCTCAGCCTCGGGGTGCTGCTGGTGCCGGATCCGAGCCACCTTCTGGGCCGGGGGGTCCTTGGGGGGGCCCTTCTCTAAAGTGCAGCAGGAGGGGCCGACACGGACGCCCAGGGGGTCAGGGCGGGGGGCACGGGAGCAGTCGGGGGCCGGTGGCACCTCGAAGTAGCCCTTCTCCAGCCCCCCCTTGGACGCCGGGCACCTGCCGGAGAAGGGGGGTCCCTCAGCTGCACCCCCCCCCAGGTACTCCAGCCCCTTCAGCCGGGTGCCCGGAGCCCCCCAGTCCAGCCGCCGCTCCGCTGGCCCCTCGGCCTTCAGCGGGTGATGGAAGGGGGCACCATAGGGCTCGGTGCTCCCCTCGTTGTGCCGCTCCTTGCCGTCCCCTCGCTCCATCCCACCGGATTCCGCCTGGAACGAGCGGCTCTTGTCCGTCGGGGGTCCCACCGAGGGCACCAGCGTGGCCCCGCTCAGCTTCAGCTCGCGGGCGGGGGGCTCGGGCAGCGGGCACAGCACCTCGGGGCCGGTGTGGAGCGGGAGGCAGGGGAAGGAGCCGGCGGCGGGCACGGCGTAGGACACGGCGTGGTGCAGCATCTGCCGCCGCTCCACGGCCTCGCCGTAGGGCTGGGGCGCCTCAGGGACCCCCGGCTCCCGCTCCTTGGGGGCGCAGCGGGCGGCGCGGGGCAGGGCGTTCCCGGCACAGCTGGGCAGCGCCGCGCGGGCGCCGTCACCGTCCAGCCCCTTGGCACCCAGCAGGCACGAGGCCAAGGGCTTGGGGCGCCCATCGCCGGAGCCCCGCGGCGGCACCCCCTCCTTGCAGTGCCCCTCGGGCGGCACCGGCAGCACCGCCTTGTGCCGCTCCTTGGGGTCCTCCTCGGGCAGCCGCTCCTTGGGGTCCCCCTTGCCCCCCTTCTCCTTGCCCACCAGGAAGCGCTCGTAGTCCTTGGGGGTCTTGGGCAGGGGGCCGCTGTCCCGCTCCCGGCTGCAGGAGCCGGCGGGGGGCCCAGGGGCGGCGCGGGCGATGCCGGGGAAGCCGTGGCTGGCAGGGAGCAGGGGGGGCTGTGCCGGAAGGTTCCGCAGGTAGAAGTTATCTGGAGGGGAGGGTAACGGGTGAGACCCCCCAGACCCCCCACCCAACCGGTGGCCATGCCAATGAGAGAAGGAGTGGGACGAAGGGACAGGTGCCCACCACCCCACCCGCTGCCCAAGCACTGGGCACCTGCTCTGACACCAGCACTGGGACAGGAACTGTGAGCCCCCCACGCCTCTCCAGGTGGGGACATGCACCCCCACAAGGGACCCTGGTGGCCCCGGTACCTGCCTTTCTGGCTCTCGTAGAAGCGGTGCTGGCCGTAGAGCACGTTGCCATTGCCGTGGTGGTCCAGGTGGCCCATGGGCAGGAAGGTGGAGGCCAAGCTCCCGGAGAAGCGGGGGTACCCCGGGGCTGGGGACACGGGGTCAGCGGGGCTGGGGTGGCACCTCACCCAGCACCCCAACCCACACTGCTCCAGCTGGGAACACCCTGCAGAGCCTGGGATCCCCTCCATGCTGGGACCCCCCACGCCCTCCAGGAGCCACCGAGGAGGGGGCTGAGGCCCCCCCAGCCTCGTGTCAGCAGTGGCCGTGCTTGGCTCGGCTCGGGCGGGCTGTCCGTCGGCCGCGTGCGCTGCCCGTCCCCGTCCCCCCGTGCCCCCCCGAACGCTGGGAGCCAGCTGGCAGCCGGTCAAACTACCAGCCGGGCCGGCTGCCAGGGCCCCGCGCCAGCACCGCCGCCCCGCTCCCGCTCCTCCGGCACGGTGGGGACGCCAGCAGGATGGGGGGGGCAAGGGGAGTCAGCTGAACCAGGGCTGCCCCGGGGGTCCCCACACTGTCACCTGCCCCATCATCACCAGTGACACAAGCTGGCCCGGCCTCAGCCCAGCTCCCAGGGTGGGGGTCTGCAGCCCCGCACGAGCCTCTCCAGCCACCCCAAACCCCAATTGCAGGGGCTCAGCCTGGTTCCCGTGGATGCTCAGGGAGGGATTTAGGGCACAGTGCTGCTTGTACCCACATCATCATTGCGAAGCAGTTGCCCAGGAAGCCTGGATCTCATCCATACAGGCACCGGTGGGACATGGTGCACTGGCACTGGGCAGAGCCCTGACCACATCTTGGCCACCCACAGGGACCCCCTGCCCCACCCTCGTCCCAGTCCCCGCTCACCTTCATGGGAGTGGGAGAACCAGATCTGGGAGGTGCCGGAGTGGGGCCCACAGAAGGCTGGCTCTGGGGGGGAGGCAGCGGGGCCAGCGGGGTGGCTGGGCCCCCCCGAGCCCAGGCTGCTGCTCAGGAAGCCCCCCATGAAGGAGGAGGGAGGGGCGCTCCCCATCAGGCTGCTGCCGGCTGTGGGGAGAGGATACAGTCAGGGGGGCCAAGGACACCATTCAGAGGGTTGAGGACACAGCTGGGGGGGTTGATGCAGTTGAGGGGGGTTGAGGACACAGCTGGGGGTTGATGCAGTTGAGGGGGTTGAGGACACAGCTGGGGGTTGATGCAGTTGGGGGGGGTGAGGATGCAGTTGGGGGGGGTTGAGGACGCAGTTGGGGGGGGTTGAGGATGCCGTTGGGGGGCAGCGCAGGTTCTGCTCCCACACGTGACCTGCCGTGCCCCCTCGTGCACACACGTGTGCACATGGCTCCCAGGGGGCTGTGCAGCCCCCCCGGCACGGGTGCATCCCCTGTGCACACACAGCCCTCACGAGCACGCGTGTCCCTCGTGTCATCGTGTCCCTCGTGCACACACGGTCCATGAGCACACACGTCCCTTACATGATCACCTCCCTCGTGCTCACATGTCCCTCGTGCACGCATGGCCCTTGAGCACCCAGCACATCCCTTGTGCACACATGACCTGTGAGCCACACGTCCCCCATGATCACAGCCCTCGTGTCATCGTGTCCCTCGTGCACACACATCCCCCATGAGCACACACGGCCCTTGTGCCATAACAGCCCTCGTGCCCCTCACGTCCCCCAGCCCCACAGTGCCCACACGTGCACCAGGGTGTGTCAGAGGCAGCAGAGCCGTGCAAGGGGCTCTGTTGCCCTGCCCTGTGCGTGCCCTGAGAGCACACACGTGTGCTGGCACACAGGAGGTTTTGCACACGTGTGTGGCTCCCATACAAGTGCTCCCAGTGCTGGGACAATCCCGAGGTCCAGAGGCCCGTGTGTACACGTGTGTGCGTACACATGTAAGTGTGTATGTGTATGTATGTGCATACACATGTATGTGCACGTACGTGTTGGGAGGGGCAGGGGCAGCTCCCATCCTGACCCCGCCACCTCCCCCACAGCCCGGGGGGGCCCCCAGCACCCCTGGGGAGCCCCATGGCCGGCGTTCCCCATCCCGCCCCCCATCCTGCTCCCATCCCGGCCAAGCCGTGAGATCATGGTGGAAACTTTGGAGCCGGTGGCCAGTGGTTGGGCGGGGGGAGCCGGGATGGGGGGAGCCGGGATAGGCGGAACCGGGATGGGGGAGCAGTTGCCCTTCACTGCACGGCCCCACTCCCCGTGTCCCTGTGTGCCGGCGTGGTCGTGGCACGGCTCGGCACGCGTGGCGTGGCGCGGAGCGCGGGCTGGCCGCCCGCCCGGCCGGGGCAGGAAGCGATGCTTTGCTCTCTAAGCCGGCCCACGCTCCCCGGCTAATCCCGCCGGGATGCCTCTGGGATGAGTGTCGGGATGTGGTTTCAGGCAGCTTCGCTCCTTCCTCCGCGGAGGGGCCGAGCTGGGCAGGGCCGCGTGGGCCGGGGGCACGGCCACAGCCCTGGGAACCGGACACGCACCAGGATGGGTGGGCACATCCCGCCGTGCCAGCGCATCCGGGGGGATCCCTGTCCAGTGCTGCCTGCAGCCAGCCCACCCCGCACCCCCGCCATGCCGGGGGACCCGTGCAGGCGTGGAGCCGGCAGCGTGCCGGGTGGCTGTGCCGGGCGGGAAGCCGAGGTTTCCAGAACAAGACTTTTCTGGAAGCCGTGGAAAGGGCTGGAAAAAATAACCCCCCACCCCGCCCTGATGGCAGTAGGGCCATGGTGTCCTGGGGGGCCACGGGGCCGCCGCTCCCCACCGCCCACCCACTGACTCATGGGTCCCCCGGCGCGCTCAGCCAGCACTGCCATTCCCACATTCCCACCCACCTCGCAGGCCTGCTCGCCACGGCCCCTGGCACACTTGCGCTCTGCCACGGCTCACCACGGAGCACGGGCAGGGAGAAGCCCCCATCCTGCCCCCTCCAGCACGGTGACAGTGAGGACAGGGACAGATCCTTGAGAACGTGCACAACTCGTGTCACCGATGAGCCCACAGCACTGGAGCAGCCCTGTGCCACAGGTTCCTGAGACCATGCACAACTCATGTCAGTGATGAGCCACCAGTGGCGGGGGAGCCCTGTGCCACAGGGCCTGAGACCGTGCACAACTCATGTCACCGATGAGCTGGCAGCGTCGGAGGAGCCCCGTGCCAGGATGGGCACAACAGCCCGGGGCTGGTTGCCAGCAGGGGACAGATGGGCTGCGGGGTCCCACCCCGGCCCCCCCTGCCACCCCCCGGCAGCGTCACCCTGGGAACTCCCTGGCCGGGCTCCCCGAGGCCAGTGCCGTGACTCAGCCCCGCCGGCATCGCTCCCAGCTCCGGCATCAAACTTCCCTTGGCCCCAAATCCACAGAGTCACACGTGTGACAAGTGTGCCAGGTCTCAGTACGGCCGCAGTGACAGTGCTGGGGGATTGTGGGTGCGGGTAGGTCAGCGGGGGACCCTTGGGGGGCTCCAAGAGGTGCTCCCTCCCTCCAGCTGCTCCTCGCCCCCGCTCCAAGTGCAGAACAGATGGGAATGTTCCGGGAAGGCAGAAAGTTTCAGGGCCGGGGTGTGTGGGAGGGGCTGTGGCCCCAGGAGGGTTGACCCCATGGCTGCTTCGGGGTCCCCAAGGCGGTGACAGCCCCCGGGTCCCCACAGTAGTGGCGGGGGGGACGTGCAGAGGGTTGGGTTTCTCCCTCAGCTATTTCGGGGCTGGAACATTCCTAACGGAGCCGGGGCTGCAGGAGGAGGGCTGAGAGCTGGCAGGGACCCTCACGCCACAGCCGGGCACCCCGGGGTTCCCTGAGCCAGGCGGGGGTGGGTGCAGCCCCCAGCTCCCCCTCCCCACGATTCACAACACACGACCCCTTTCAGAATTTGGCAAACGGAGTAACCAGGCTCTGGCTCCCCCGGTGCTGCAATTCCAGCTGAATCCATATTGTTACGGCACTAAATGAACGCCGTGATGGTGAAACGCTGCCGGAACGTGCCCGACAGAGCCAGGGGGGCAATCCCAGCGTTATCTGATGGGTTATCTGCTCCAGAGGGCCACAGGCAGCTGTCCTGGCTGGAGCTGCTGCACACTCAGTGCTTGCACGCTCACCAGGGCTGTGTGTGCCCACAATCACCAGGGTGGTGCACACTCCTGGCACGGCTGGCACACGCTCCTGGCACGGCTGGCACACACGTGTGCTCAGTGCGCGCTGCCTGCACACACCATTTGCACACCCACCACACAACCCGACACACACTCGCTGTGCAAAACCATTTCTGGAGCACAGGCAAGCCAGGGAGGGTCCAGCCCTGGGGGTCCCGATGTCCCACCCCATTCCTGGTGTCACACAGATGCCAAGCATGTGGACCACCCCCCTGGGGAAGCCCCCAAAAGGTGGGGACCATGGTGACCCCTTGTCACTGAATGTCACACGTGCAGGGTCCCAGGACGGAGTGACCCCGAGGGGCTACCAGGACTCATCCCCCCCTGCTCCCTCCAGAAGGGACCCCAGCACCCAGTGGGGTCAGACCCTGCCCTGGGGTGATCTGTGAGGCAGGTGGGGTGCAGGCAGGGCCAAGGGGGCTCTGAGGAGCTGGGGGTGTCCCAAGTGGCCCCCAGATTCTCTGTGGAGCCCACCCCCAGCATCCCCTGGGCAGCAACAAGGGCTGGCAGCAGCTGCCTGTCCCCCCAGGGCCTGGCACGTGGTCGTGTCTCCGCGTGGAGCCAGCTCATGACTAAGGAACAGTGGAACCACTCGAGAATGATTCTGCAAGACCCAGGGTGATCCAGTAGGATCTGGGGATCTGCACATCCCGCTGCTCCCACCAGCCACGTGTGTCCCCCTGCCCCTCGTGGGTACCGAGGAGCAGCGCAGGTAATCTCCAAATCCGGTTTAACTTTGACACTCACTTTGGAAATGCACTGTACACGGCGGCACAGCCGGGCTGGCTCAGGGGGCCGGGGGGAGTGAGGAGCCCCTGCAGCAGAGCCGTACCAGAGCTGTGCCAGAGCCGTACCGCGGTCTCCAGCCCCTCATGAGACCTGCCTCCAGGGAGGCAGCGATGCGGAGCGGCTGCAGTGCTGGCACCCGGCCCTGTGTCACCACTCGGCCAGAGGCACTGTCCCCACCTGCCCCCCATCACCCCCACACGCATCCCCCCCAAAAGCCACGCCAGGGAACCGCACAGCACCCGGCCTGCAGCATAATCTAGGGAGGGGGACAGGTGTGGGAGCACATCCAGCTACCAACTCACGGCTCCGGGATGCAAACCCCACACTGAGATGTGCACCGGGACCTGCACTGTCATGGCCAGGCTGCACGCCAGCACCAGGCTGCACCCTGGCACCGGCACGCACACCGGCACTGCCGAGGCCAGGCTACAGGCCAGTGCTGGGATGCACACTGGGATGCACACCGGGATGCACACTGGGATGCACACTGGGATGCACACAGACACCCCCGGGGTCAGCCGCCCGCCAGCACGGTCATGCTGCTCCCAGCAAAGCCGGCGCCACCGCTCCCCAAGGCCGTGTGCCGAGGGCTCGGCCACGGTGACAATCAGCCCAGGGCAGTCACAACTCCCCACGAGTCCAGAAAAACATCCGAAGGACAAAAATCACACCCAGGCCCCAGCGCAGCTCAGCTGGAGTTTCCCACTCCCTGGTTGTGGCAGAAGCACTGGGACCCCTGCCCCACGCGGCACAGGGCGTGCTGGGCTGGTGGGACCCACCACAATCGGGGGGTGGGGGCTGCACCCGGTCTGGGGGGGCTCAGGGAACTCCAGGGGTCCCTGATCCCCCAGTACCAGGCAGTGTCACAGCCCCCCAGCCCCCCTGCCATCATCCACGCAGTGCCGGTGCCAAACCTGACGCCGGCCGGAGCGTTCGGTTCCAGCAACGCACGGCCCTGAGTTACGGCTTTAATAAAATCAGGGAAAACACTTTTATCTCCCATTCCCAGGGAGGCCGCCAGCCCCGGCAAAGGCTCCTGGGAGGTGTAGTCCGGCCCCACGCCGGGAGCCATTTGGGGGAGCGTGGCCAGAGCCCCCCAGCCTTGCTGTGCCCCCCGGGTGCCGCGTGCCGTGCCGGCATCGCCACGCCACGGCCAACCGCGGGCTGGCTCCGTGCGCTGGGTGGGGTAATTATCAATCATCGGTGTTAATTACCACGCCACGCTGCCACGGCTGCTGGCACCGGGGCTGGGCCATGCCGGGGGATGCGGGGTGCTGGGGACAGGGACCCCCCTCCCGTCAGCACTGCGCCGGCCACTAAATTATCCGGTTTATCCGCCCCAGCGGCGTTCCAGCCGTGCGGAGCCGCGGAGCGCAGCTCGCTGGGAAGCGCTCCGGCTGCGCCGGCCCTGCCAAAGCTGGAATATTTTTAGCTCGTTCTGTTGTTGGGTTTGGCTTCTCTGGGTTTTTTTTTTTTTTTCGGCGCATTTCTGCCGGGGTATTTTTAGCCAGATCCATGTTATTTTAACAACCTCCGGTGCGTTCGGGCTCCCATGTGTCGCCCAGGCCCCGGCGGGTGTGAGGGTCCGGCACCGGGACACCGCCACGCCGAGAAGCCGGAGGGAAGCCGGAGGGAAGCCAGCAGCACCCAGCACTGGTGTCCCCCCGGGATCCCCTGCAAGGCCACCGTGAGCCGGAGAGCACTCAAGCCTCCACCCCAACCCCCCACCCTGGGGACAGGCTCCAAGCCCCCACCATGCTCCACAGCCCCCAGGAGCAGGGGGAAGCCAAGGTGGTCCCTCAGCCCGGTGGTGGTCCCGGCAGTGAGGCCGCCAGCACAAAGCGAAACCGCCCCGGCCGCGGGCCCGATCCAGCACCGCCTCCCCGGCACCCCCCGGTGCCCCCCGGTTTCTGCCTCCTTCCAGGAGCCCCCGTCGCTGCCACCACCCCCCCGCGCCGGCCCGGCCATGCCCCCCGCCCTAATCCACGCACTAATTGTAATCCCATTAAAGCAGATATAATTTTATTAGTATTCACAGCTCATCAAGGCGGCGACAATAACCGGCGCTGCCGCCGTGCCGTGGCCAGACAACCGCCCGCGCCGGCGGGAAGCAGGGGGCCCCGGTGCTGCACCGCGCTGAGCCAGTAACCCTGCACCCGCTCCAGCCCTGCTCCCACTCCAGCTCCATCCCGGAGCTCGGCAGTGGCAGCGAGGGCCGTGCTGGCTGCACGCTCAAAGCCCTCTGTGCAGTGAACCCCAGTTTAGGTGCTGAGCACCCCAGTTCAGGTGCTGCGCACTCCAGTTCGGCCCCGGCCGGCCGCAGCCGAGCACATGCCGCAGACAAAGCCACGGGGGCAGCTGGCCGTGGCCGCCGGATGCGGTGACCCCTCGGCGGTGCCGGTTGGCCGTGTGGCGCTCGGCCGTGTGCCGCGCTTTGTCCGGCCCCGGCGGCCGTGGCAGCGAACACACGCCGCAAACCCCTTCGCACCCTGACACTTCGGCACCCAACATCGGGCCGGGGCTCGGTGACCTTCCCCCGCCGCCCCACGGCCCCGCAAATAACGGCCTCCTTGTTCCCCCGAGCGCCTGCTCGTCCAGGCACCGGGATCTCGCCGGAGCGGCCGGGTGGGGGAACATCCCCCGCGTGTGTGTGAGTCCTCACCCCAAACCGCCGGGCGCGGTGACAGCGGGATCGGCACAAAGGGAGGCCGAGCTCCCGGTGCCGTGCCGTGCCGAGCCTCCACACCCCTCCCGGCCCCCCACACCGTGGCCGCGGCGACCCCTCTGACCTGTGTGCGTGGCCATGGAGATGGGCGCCGGGAAGTACTTGGTGGGCTGGAAGTGTCCGGGGGGCTGCACGGCCCCGTGTGCCGACCCCGCCACGCGCCCGGAGCCGTGCCGGTGGCCCAGGCTGCCCCGCTCCGACAGCAGCCGCGGCGGGGGCGCGAAGTCGCGGCCGTCCATGCCGGGGGCACCCACCCGCGGGGGGCTCGGCGGGACCCCGACACGGCTGGTGGGCGATGCTCAGCGCCGCGCCGGGCCGGCTCGGCGGGCGTCCTGCCGCGCTCCGCGCCGGGGCTGCCGGCTCATCCTCCGCTCCTGGTACGGGAGAGAGAAAGGAGAGAGAGTGAGAGCACGGCCAGACTGGGGGTACAGCCCCTCCACACACCCCTAAAACCACTCGCCCAGCACCCCACTCCCAGTTTGCCCAGTGCACAGCTCCCTTTCTCTCCAGCTCGCAGGGCCGCGGTTTCCCCGGCACTGCCGGTGCACGGTCCCCATTTCCCTACCATCTCCAGAGCACAGCCCCCCCATCCCCGGTACCCCCGGTTTGCAGCCCCCAGCTTCCCCAGCACCCCCAGTTCGCTGTGCCCAGTTTCCTGAGGGCACAGCCCCCCCCTGCCTGTTCCGGGTGCTCCCGGAGCGCAGCCCCCCTCCTTTATCCGGTGTCCCCGGTTCTCGACCCCAGTCCCCCGGAGCCCAGCCACGGCCACCCCCTGCTCGGGGCCCGGTTCCCGCTGCTCCGGTCCTTTCTCCCCGCTGCCGAGCTCCAGTTTCCCGGCGCTCCGTCCTTCTATCTCCGCCGGCTCACCGACCGTATCTCCCCGGGGCTCGGCCCCCGATCGCCCTCGGCTCCCCCGGTTCCCGTTGTCTCCCCGGTGCTCGGCGCCTCCCTCGCCGCGCTTCCACTATTTCCTTCCTTCCGTCCCCAGCCCCGGTATCTCCCCAGTTTCCCTCCAGCCCCACTTCCCCGGTATTTCCCGGTGCCCGCACCCCTGCTCTCCGCGGTTCCCCGGTATGTGCCCGGTGCCCTGCCCCGGTTTCCCGGTGTCGCCGCGGTGTCCCGGCCGCGGTTCGCGGTCCGTGCCGGTGCCCGGCCGCGGCTCCCGCCCGCCGGGTCATTGTTCTGGCAGCGCCGGGGCCGCGGGGCCCGATCCTGCGGGGGGAGCCGGGCACGGGCCGGGCGGTGGCGAACAAAGGGGCGCGGGGGGCGAGCGCGGCCGGGGGGCGCGGGGGACCCGGGGGGGGCCCGGCCGGGGCCGCGGGCACCGTGGGGGGAAGCGCCGGGCCGAGCCCCGCGGCGAGAAACACGGGCCGGGAAAGGGAAAAAAAAAAAATAAAAAAATAACGCGTGTTTTCCTCAAGGAGACCCGAACAAAATTACGTAAAAAAAAAAAATAATAAAAACGTGGTGTTTTTATTGATGTAAAAAAAAATTAAATGTAAAGAGGGGAAAAAAAAAAATAACGTGAATTAACCGAAAGGGGAAAATATTTAAAGCGAAAAATTTAAGGCGAAAAGGGCTCGGTGCGAAAATGTTTGAAGGCGCAAACGGTTTAGTGAAGCAGCGTTTGATAAGCAAATGATTTAATGAACAAATGTTTTCACGCACAAAAATTTTAACGGACAAAATTTTAGGGCGAAGCGCTTTAAAGCGACGAGTCTTAACGGCAAAAAATGTTTTAACATAAAAAGACTAAAGGGGAAAAGATGTTTTAATGGGAAAAGATGAAGGGGAAAAATATTTTGGTGGAAAGAGATACAGGGGAAAATATTCTGGTGGAGAAAGGTGAAGAGAAAAAAATATTTTTGAAGGAAATAGACAAATGGAGAAAATATTTTGATGCCGGAAAGATGCAAAAAAATATTTGGCTGCAAACAAATAAAGCGAAAAATAAATAGTGAGGAAAAAGCGTAAAAAAAAAAAAACCCACACACATAAAAAAAGGAAATGTACAAAGAATGGAAAAAATAAAAGGCAAAAATGCAAAATCATTTACGTCCAAAAATTTAAAAATAATAAATCTAAGAAAGCAAAGAAAAATATATAAAGCGCAAAACGCAAATAAAAATAATGCTGAAAACGCAAAACAAAACAGAAAAAAAATTAACGCCCCAAATCCCCAAAATAAATAACGCCAAAAAAATTGTTAAGGCGTAAAAAAAAAAAAAAAAAAAGGAAACAAAAAAATCTCCAAAAACAAAACAAAACAAAAAAAAAAGCCAAAAACACAATAACCCCGGAGCGCCCGAAATTAAAATAACCCCCAAACAACAACAGCAACAACAACAACAACAACAAAAAACCCACCCGCGGATCGCAGTTACTTACCGGAGGGGCGTTCCGCGCGCGGGGCGAGTGCGGTCCCGTGGCGGGGGTGCGCAGCGTGCTCCTGCCGGTGCCCGTGCACTGCCCATGCACCGGCTGCTCCTGCAGCAAAGGGAACCGGGGGTGTGTGGTTGGGGGCAGCAGGCGGGCGGGCGGGCGGGGGGGTGTGGAGGGAGGGAGGGAGGAAGGGAGGGGAGGGAAAGGGGGGTGGGAAAAGGCGGGGGGTGCGGGGACCCCGCCGCGCCTCCCGCTCACGCCGCGCGCGCTCCGGCAGGGCGGGCGCGCCCCGCATGCTAATGAGCGCGTGCCCCGCGCGCGCCCCCGCGCTGATTGGCCGCCGCGCGTCGCTCGCGCCCGCCGGCCATTGATCCCCACGCCCCCGCCCGCGCGCTCCGCTCTCCCCGCGGCGCGCGCGCCGCGCGTCAGGGCGAGCGCCCCGCGCTGATTGGCTGGCGCGCAGCCAGCCCGCCCGCCAATGGCGGCGCGGCGCGCGACGGCGCCGGATTCAAGCGCGGCGGATGAATGGGGAGGGGACGGGGCACGGCGCGCACGCGCACTGTCCCGCCCGCCGCGAGCTGCGGGGGAGCGTTGGGAGGGGGCCCCGCCCCGCCCTTCCCCGCCGCGGCCGATTGGCTGGCGGCGCGCCAGAGAGCTGTCAATCACTCAGTGTAAACAAGGCGCCCATTGGCCGCCGCCGAGGGCGGTTTCGAGGCTCCCCCTTTGCCTCCCCCCCCCCTCTCGGAGGGGTGTGGGGGGTGCACGCGCGGCCCGGGCGGTTTCGAGGCCCCCCCCGCGCGCAGCCCGGAGCGCCCCGGGCCGAGCAGCGATCAAAGAGCGGCGGGAGCGGAGCACGGGCCGGCCCGAAGGTGGGGGCTGCGGGGCTGGGGGGCAAGGCGGGGGGTGCGATGGCCGGGGGTGCGCAGCAGAGCAGCGTTGAGGGGCTCTGCAATAGATGGGGTTCATGCAGAGCAGGGCTGGGGGGCTGTGCGATATGGGGGGGCCATGCGGAGCTATGGGGGTCTGTGCGGTGCCGGGAGTGCAGTGTCGGAGGGCACAATATGAGGGGGCTGTGTGACGTTGGGGGGCCGTTTAGAGCAGGGTGGGGGGCCGTGCAGTGGGGTGGCACGATGTGGGGGGGCTGTGCAACGTGGAGGGTGCAGTGGAGGGAGGCCGTGCAGAGCAGGATGGGGGGATGTGAAACGTGTGGGGTTACAGTGTTGGGATCACACAGTTCAGTGATGGGGGGCTGTGCGATGTGGGGGGTCATGGGGAGCGAGGTGGGGGGCTGTGCAGTGTGGGGATTGCAGTGTTGGAGGATCGTGCAGTACAAGGTAGGGGGGCAGTGTGGGGGAGAATGCAGTGTTGAGGGGCCCTGCGATGCAAGGTGAGTGGGGCTGCAGTGTTGGGGGGCTGTGCAATGGGGGTACAGTGTGAGGGCTGTGCAATGGGGGTACAGTGTGGGGGGCTGTGTGGGATGCTGGCAGGGGCAGGGTGGGAGGGGGCACTGCAAACTGAGGGGCTGTGTGATGGGGGGTATTCACAGGGCGAGGGACTGGGGACCACACAGTGGCAACAGGAGCAGGAGCAGTGTCAGGGGCCAGGGCTGGGAGGGGGGCCTGGCAGAGGGTCCCACCAGGGTCCCCACTGGGGCCCTGCAGGGTTTTTTTTCCATTTTTTACAATAAAATGCAGCAGTTGATTGAAAAGGCCGAAATAAATCCCGACGGCTCAGAACCACGATTAGATCACGGCGGGCGATTCATCCCGCGGGACGGCAACCGAGTCAGGGGACAGAGCCCAGCACACCGGGATGCACGGGCACGGCACGGGGACAGACAGATGGACAAGGACAGCCGGGCACAGGCGGCTGCCCCGCGGGGCACGGCCCGGCACAGGCGCTGGTGCAGCGGGACGTGCGGCTGCAGCGCAGAGCCGTGCCCGGGGACACGCCGGGGGACACGCGGAAGGACACGGGATCACACCGGCAGCTTGGAGGCACAGCCTCCTCATCCCCCTCCACAGCCACCATGGGAAGGCCGCTGGATCCCTGTCCGTGTGGGGAAGGCCAGGAAAAAGCCGTTGTGGATTATCCCGGTGCGTGGAGTCGGTGCCGGAGGGGAGGACGGTGCAGATCCCAGCACTGGGGACGTGGGGTGTTTGGCTGCCAGGGCTCCTGGAGCGCTGGGGAAGAGTTTCTTGACTGAAAAAGAAAAGCAGAAAAAGACAAAAAAAGCAGCTGTGAGGCTCTTCCTTCCCCGGTGATGCCGGCAGGAGGGGGAAGGGTCCGGGGGAACCTCCAGTGCTGGGTGTGGGAAGGGGCTGTGGAGCACCAAGCCCGTGTCCCTGGGCACGGTGGGCAGACCCCAGGAAAACAGTCCCCCCATGGCAAACCCCCTGCTGTGGGCAGCCCCCCTCCTTGGGCAGCCCACCCTCTGAGTTGGCATCCCCTGTGGGCAGCCCTTCCCTCTGTGGGCAGGACCCCCTCCGGATGGGCACACCCCCCTCTGCCTGTGGGCAGACCCACTCCTGGAGGAGGTGCATTCTCCCTGAGCAGCCCCCCCAGTGGGTAGGCAGACCCCCTGCTGTGGGTGTACATCCCCCGTGGGCAGCCCCCTCCACGAGCAGTCCCCCCACCCTGGGGGTACAACTCTGCTGTGCCGAGGTTGATCAGTGAAGCGTGCCCAAATGAGTGCAATTAAAGTCAATTTAATGAGGACCCCCCCACGTTTACCCCCAGCCCTGCAGCTGCCTTTGTCCGCTGCTGCTGCTGCTGCTGCTGCTGCTGCTGCTGCTGCTGCTGCTGCTACACACACGGTCCTGTCCCACCCCCCAGCTGGGCCTGTGCCACCACAGAGCCCCCTGAGCACGGTGTCACCCCTGGGGGGCAGGAGGGGACCCTGAGGATGGGGGACAGTGGCCGAGGGCAAGGCCTGTCCCTGCCCAGGGGACTGGCTGGGGGTGTTTGGGGGTGCAGCAAGGAGGCTGCAGCCCTGGCAGTGTGCCCTCTCCTCAGCTGTTCTCCTGAGCTTCATCCTCCTGGGAGCTGTCAAGCCCCCTCGGGAGAGAGAGGAGGCTGGAGGGTCCCCCAGCACTCCTTGGGTGGGAGCTGCAGCAGCCCCTGTCTCTGCCTGGACCCCCAGCTCTGCTGCAGCGGGACCCCCTGGCTGGCGTGACCCACTGCCGTCCTCCAAGGCTCATCCCGGGGCTCTGCATGGCACGGAACAGCGGGTATGGCTCCCAGGACAGGCAGTTTTCCAGCTGGCTGTGGCATTCCCGGCGCGTCTCAAGGCCGTCTGCGTCCAAGGGTCGTGTTTGTGGCGCAGAGGGACGAGGTGGCTCAGCACCACTGTCTGCTCTGCTCCCGGCTCAGGGCCCTCGGCCCCTGCCCGGCACTCCCCAGGGCTGGGGGGCAGCGGGGGGCACAGAGCCACAGCCGCTCGAGGGTCCGAGGAAAAAGGAAGGAACTTAACTCCCATTAACCATCCCATTGTACCGGCCGTGGGAATAATCGGGTTTGCTAATGCAATTGCTGCTGCGATGCGAAAATCCGACTGGAAAATGTATTAGAGCAATTATCCGCCTCCCTCCGCAGCCGGCGGAGCATTAATATTCAATTTTGATGTGGAAGCCCTATTATGTTAATGACTTTGGTGACAAAAGTCGTTAATGTAAGACGTTCCCTCCATGGCAGCGGGGCGAGCGGGGGCTGCTGCCACGGGACGGGACGGGGCACGGCGCGAGGGCGCAGGGTGGGGCTGCGGGGGGAGCCGGGAGGAGCCCCCTCCCCGGCCCTACGGGGTCCCGGTGCTCGGGCCGAGCAGCCGCTCCAGGTCTGGGGGCTGTGCCGGGCGGATTAGCCACGCTGCAGCGCACCTGGCAGCGCCGCTCCCTCCCCGCAGCTGCCCTCCTTTGTTCTCTGCCGGAGCCTGGGGGGGATCAGCGGGGCTCCCCTGCCCGCCGGGGAGCGCTGGCCGCTGTCCCGGCCCTCGGGTGACACCAGGACCGTGCTCCTGTCCCGCTGCCGCTGCTGCAGTTCGGGCACTGCCATGGGCAGGCCTGGATGGGTGGGTGGATGGGTGGGTGGATCTGGGGACGGGGGCTGGTGGTGGAGGCACAGAGGGGGATGAGGAGCAATCCATCAGCAGAAGCAGCACCCCCTGGCCTTGCCATCGGTGGCCACCACCGCGGCTCCCACGTCGGTGCCATGGGCGGTGTGAGGCCAAGCTGTGCCGTGACAGAGGCCTGGAGCTGCTGGAAGGGACAGCAAGGGGCAAGCATGGAGCTGGGAGCTGCCTGTGACAGACAAAGCGACCATGACCTTCACCCCTCTGGCAAAGGGCTCGTCCCCCGGGCTGGGAGTGAATGAAGGCCCCGGCTTTGCCGCGAGCATGGCTGGTAGAGGGTGGCCCTGTGGCACAAGAACCCAGCTGGCCTGGCATTGGGCTGGTTGGGAAGGAGGAAATTTCTCAGGGCCAAGGAGGGGACAGCAGAGCCCAGACACAACCCAGGCATGGGCTGGGATTTCTGTTGGTCCTTTCCAGGTTCCCCCAGGAGGGTCCTGGTGCTGTCCCCTCTGAGCAGTGTGTGTTGTGTCCAAGCACAGGGACTGGCACGTGGCTGTTTCCCGCCCTGGGGGTCCACGTGTGGCACAGCTCCGCCTGCGTGGGGGGCTGCAGCAGTTGGGATTTGCTGCCCAGAGCCCCCAGTATGATGCCACCCTGGGCTCCCTGACCCACAGCACACCCGGGACAGCAGCCCAGGGACCCGTGCAGGGTGTCCCCCGCGGTCTGCCGGAGCAGCAAGGTGCCAAGCTGATGCTGCCACGCGGGATCCGGCACTGACAGCGCACAGGCGGGCTGGCGTCCCCGGGGCTGCTGGGGACGGGACACCCCTGGGGACAGGGGACACACCCCGGTGGCCCGGGGCCGTTCCGGGGCGGTTCCGGGGGCGGCGGGGCCGGGTCCCCCCTCGGTCCCCTCGCGGTCCCCGCTCCCGGCTCCGCGCGCACGTGGCCGGGCCGGGCCGTGCCCCGGGCCCCGCCCCTCGCCCCCATTGGCCCAGCGCCCCCCGGCCCGCGCTCCCATTGGCCCAGCGCCCCCCGGCCCGCGCTCCCATTGGCCCCGGCGCCCTCCACAAACAAAGGCCGGCGCCCAGCGGGGGGCCCGGCGCGCCGCGCTGATTGGCGGGGCGGAGGGGGCGGGGCGCGCCCATTCATGCGCGCGGGGAGGGGCGGGGCCAGCGCGGGCTGCGCTTCCCGCGCGCGGCGCTTCCCACGGCCAGGGCGGGGAATGAATGGGCGCGCGGGGGGGCTCGGTACGGCCCCGTAAGGCTCGGTACGGCCCGGTACGGCCCCACAATGCTCCGTACGGCTGGTACGGCCCCGCAATGCTCCGCTCGGCTCGGCTCGGTAAGGCTCCGTACGGCCCCCTGCGCCTCGGGGCCATTGCCACGCGTGGGTACGTGCGGGTGGGGAGCGTGTCCACTCGCGGGCGGGCCGGCACGGTAAGGCTCGATAACGGCTCGGTACAACCCGGTAAGACTCGGTACAGCTCGGTGCCTGAGTCACGCGTGGGTGCGTGCGGGTGGGGAGCGTGTCCCCCCGCGGGTGTGGCGGTGCCCCTGCCTGTGCGTGTCCCTGTGTGTCCACGGCGCTGCCGCGTTCACACGTACCCCGCTCTGTGCCTTCCGTACCCACACGTGTCCCCCCGCCCCGGGTGTCTGTTGTGCTGGGAGGTGAGAGGCGTTTCCCAGGGTCCCCCACGATCGCGGCTCTGCATCGCCCCAGCCCGGCCCTGCGGGGCCCACGGGCACCACCATCGTTCCCCACAGCCTGGGGACCACCAACCCCAAACCCACCCCACGGCTGCCACTGGGGTGACACCATGTGGGGGGTCACCAAGGCCTCTCACTTCCTCCCCGAACGGGCTGTGCCGTGTGTCCCACTGTGCTGCTGCACCCCTCCCTTGCACGGATCAGTCCCCTCGCCTCCATCTCCCTCATCATGCCCATAAACTGACTCCCAATCCTGTTCCCACCCTGCCAGCCCCTCGCGGGACACGCCAGAGACACGGACTGAACTTTGGTCCCCGAGCAATTAAGGTGCCTGAAACTGCACTTCATTAATGGTTGTTCTGCAATAAAACCCATCAAACTGCCCTTATTTGCAATATAAAACCGCAATTTGTTTTAATTTATGTTTTTCCGTCCTCGCCTGGTGGTTCCTGGGATCTGCCAGGAGTCTGCCAGCAGAGCTGCTGTGGGGAGCGGGGTGGTGGGCGCTGGTCCCCGTGAGGAGGGGGGACACGGGCTGGGGGGTGGGTGCAGACCCTCGGGGGCACCGTGGCGTGGGTGGACTCTGCCCCAGGTCTGGAGAGGAGGTTCCCATTCCTTCCCATTGCCCCTGGGCTATGTGCTGTGTCCCCCAGGAAGGGAGGGCAGGGATGTTCCCAGGGTGCTCGTGGTTCCAGGGAAGAGCATCCCTGTGGCACGGGAGCCCCCCCAGCCCGGAGCTGCCACTGAGGCGAATTCCTGAAGAAACATCTCCGTGAGCAAGGGTGAGGTGGGGGTGGGAGCTGCCGTGCCTGCATCCCATCGGGCAGGGATGGGCCCAGCCCTTTTCCTGGGACAGCATCCCCTGTGGAAGCTGGGAAGCTGGCTCAGCTCAGGGTGGGGTGTGCAAGCACACACACATGGAGCTGCCACATCCCACCCAGCAGCGGCCCCTGGAGCTCCCAAGGGATTTGCACTTCCACAGAGCAAGCACGGAATCCCCACGAGCTCAGCCGGCCCCAAGCCCCCATTTCTAATTACAGGAATTGTGACTCTGCAATCCTCTGGGAATGGTTGTGCTCCAGAGGCTCCAAATCCAGGCGGGAGGAATCTGGGCCATGGGGCAGGACTGGGAAGGGCTCTGAGCCACCCGGGCTTCCCGGTGGATCTGCGGTGGGAATGCTGCCATCCCAGCTGGCAGCTCCTTGTGCCATGGAGGGCATGCAGGGAGCTGGGGCTTTCCAGGGAATTCTGCCTCGCTCTCGGCTGCTCCGTGATGGGAATGTGCCCCGGCGCTGCCGGGCAGGGACACGGGCAGTGCTGGACAGAGCCCGGCTCCTGCTGGAGGCAGGGTTGGAGCAGCAGCAAACCCCGTCCCTCGGGATGGGCACGGAGAGCCCTGCAGAAGGTGGCACAGCAGGGCCTGGCTGCCCTGGTGTCCCCATCCCGTGGGAATGCCCAGCTGG